AGACCCCTAGATTCTTTTTGCAAGTACTACTGCCAAGACAGGCCTTCCATATCCTATAATTATGCTTTGATTTTTCCAACCAAAATGCAGAACTTTACACTGATCTCTGTTGAAATTCATTTTGTTAGTTTTAGCCTAGTCTTCCAGCTTGTCAAGATCATCCTGTATTTTGACTCTTGTCTTCTATTACATTTGCTACTCCTCCTAATTTAGTATCATTTGCAAATTTAATGAGCATTCTCCCTATTCCTTCATCCCAGTAATTTATAAAAATGTTGAACAACACAGGGCCCAGGCACTCCAGTTGTCCCTGAGGCACTCCACTTGTCACTCCTCTCCAAGAGGATGAGGAACCATTAACAAGCACTCTTTGGGTGTGATCTGTCAATCAGTTACAAATCCACCTAACAGTAATAGGATCCAAACCGCATTTTACCAACTTGTCAACAAGAATATCATGTTGAACCTTATCAAAAAACTTACTGAAACCAAGATAAACTGTCTACAGAATTCCTCTGATCCAGTAAGGTAGTAACTTTTTCAAAAAAGATATAAGGTTAGTCTGACATGTCTTGTTCTTGAGAAACCCATGCTGGCTCTTAGTAATCAGAGCCGTTCCTTTCTAAATGCTCAAGAACTGACTGCTTGATGATTTGTTCTAAAACTTTTCCAGGTATAGACGTCAAGCTGACAGGTTGGTAGTTACCCAGATCCTCCTTTTCCCCCTTCTTGAAGATGGGGACAACATTTGCCCGCCTCCAGTCTTCTAGCACCTCACCTGTTCTCAAAGAATTCTGAAAAATAATGGACAGAAACCCTGAAATTACATCAGCAAGTTCCTTTAGTACCCTCAGATGCAATTTATCTGGCCCCAAGAACTTAAATTCATTTAGAGAAACTAGGTGTTTATGTACCAATCCTATGCCTATCCTAGGTTGTAAGTCCCTTCATTCATCGTGTATTCTTTTTTCTTTTTCTTTTGCCTGGTTGAGCATTGTTTCCCGTGTAACAGATGACTGCGTCAAAGTAGGATTTGAGCAGTTCTTCCCACTCTTCATCACCTGTTACAATTTCACTTTCCTGTCCCAGCAATGGGCCTACCACTTTCTTGTTCTTTTTCTTGTTCTGAACATAACCAAAGAACCCTTTTTGTTGTTTTTACCATCTCTTGCTATCCTAAGTTTATACTGGGTTTCAGCTTCCCTAACACTCTCCCTACTAGCATTGGCTATTTGTTTATATTCATCCTGGCTTATATGGCCCATTTCCTAAATAAGTATTTTAATTCTCAGCTCTCTAGCAGGCAGGTTCTCAGGGATTCCATTCTCTGAGCAGCTTTGTGAGTGCAAATCCAGGAATTTAGACACCATCTGGCACTTTTTAATCAATTACAATAAATGCAATACTGCCCGTGACAAGGGGATCACAACTTACATCCAAAAATGGAGCCCAGCTACAAAGCAAGAGATATAGCTAAGTTACTAGCAAATACTGACCCAAATGTGACTCTTGCTGTTGCAAAATATTTGTCTATGACATTTACTGGTATTATTTTAATGTATTTTTTTCCCATTTATAACTCTGTATTCTTGTGTTCTTAATGTTGCCTGTATACTATTACATTTTTCCTTGTTTTGCTTGTGACTTGTTGGTCTATGTGTATAAATAAAAGAATAAATGAAATTCTCAGATCTTTAGGAAGTTTTGTATGGAGCCACCCTGGCTTCTTTAGGTTCCTCCCATTTTTCATTGGAATAATTTGTGATTCTGCAATATCTTGCTTTTAAGAAATTCTCACCCCTCTTGAACTCCCTTCTGCTTAAATATTCCCAGCCATGGAATTCTACCCAGCATAACTTTAAGTTTGTTAAAATTAACTTTTCTAGACTTCAGCCTATATGTCTGACTGCATTCAACTTCTCCCTTTCTCAAGATCTTAAATTCCAAAATTACATTGTCACTACTACCCAGGGTGCCCACTACTTTCACCTCATCAACCATTTCTTCCCTGTTGGTGAAATCAAGTCCAAGATAGCAGACCCCCACACACACCTTGTTTCCTTCTCTATCGTCTGGAAAATGAAATTGTCAGCAAGACAAGGCAGGAATTTATTAGACCTTTTATTTTAGCTGAATTTGACTGCCAATAGATATCCGAGTAATAAAAATCTCCCATGACCACCATGTCCAGTCTCTTTGAAAACTTTGTAATCTGGTCTAGGAGTGTCTTATCTAAGCTTCTGCCTGGCTTGGTGGCCTAGAGCAGACCCCCCACCATGATATCAGTATTTTATTTTGACCCAGAGACTTTCAACTGACTTTTCATACTCAGATTCATGTATTTCTTCACAATTGTATACATCCTTGACATATAATGCAACTCCTTCCCCCTTCCTTATTTGTCTATTCCTTTTAAACAAGTTGTTCCTCTCAGTCCTAATATTCCAATTGTGGGTGTCATCCCATCAAGTTTCAGTAATGCCTATTAGGTCATAGTTCCCTTCCTCTATTAGGACCTCAACTTCCTCCTGCTTGTTTCCTATACTCTATGCATTAGTGTAGAGACATTGGAATCCATGGTTTATGCACCCTGAGTGTTTTGTTTCTGTTATTACCTGCAAATTAATCGGTCTTTGCCTATGTGCCTCTTCCTGCACATCTTTAGTGTTCTTACCTCCAGTTATTGGCATCATACTAAGCTTGAATTTTTGTCTCCCTCCCCCACAGGACTTAGTTTAAAGCCCTCCTTATCAGGTTTGCAAGGTTCTTACCAAACACATTTTTCTTACTCTCATGAGGTGCAAACCATCTCCTGACACAAAAGTGTAAGCCATGGTCCAAAAAACCAGTTTGGTGTAGTGGTTAAGTGTGCGGACTCTAATCTGGGAGAACCGGGTTTGATTCCCCACTCCTCCATGTGCATCTGCTGATGTGACCTTGGGTCAGTCACAAGTTCTGGCACAGCTGTCCTTGAAAAAGAACAGTTTGTGTCAAGAGCTCTCTCAGCCCCACCCACCTCACAGGGTGTCTGTTGTGGGGAGAGGAAGGGAAAGGAGTTTGTAAGCTGCTCCGAGTCCTCCTCCTCCTAATGACACCATCTATATAGCCAGCTGTTAATTTTCAGTATTCTTCTCTCTCTTCTTAAGCCACAGCCCTCAACAGGAAGAACTGATAAAATCACAACCTGTGCTCCCAGGTCCTTTACCTTTTTACCCAGAACCTCATAGTTCCTTTTAATACTTTCTGGTCTGTGCCAGGCAGTATCATGAATGAATTGGAAGAAATTATAATCCATGGCCTTGATGAGTCTTTCTAGCCTGTCATATCCTGGATGCATGCACCTGGTAGACAACATGCCTCTCGATCAGAGGTCCGGTTGGTACACTTTAGCCTCTGTCCCTCTCAGTAGGGACTCCCCTGTTACCACCACACATCTCCTCCTATACTGGGGGAAAGAAGCTGTAGTTGTCTTCAACAGGGGCCTGAGAAATTTCCTTTGAACGTTGTGAAACTTTGTTCCAGTAGTCCAGAATCAATATCTAAGGGGAGATTCTGGAACCGATTGCAAAGCTCAGAAAGCCTCCTGATTTTCCTGCTCCAGTAGGTCACATTCCTCCACATGCCCTCTTCCTGTTTTTGGTGCTCCCCCATTTCCTGAGATACCGTTTCCTCCTGCTGCTGTTGCCCTTTCAAGAGTGCTTCGTACATTCTGTCCATGAACTCTTCACTTCCCTTATGAGATGGAGTGCGGATAAGCATATCTCACATCCTTGTATCTTCTCCTCAAGTAGGGCTACCAATTTACACTTACCAGAAGTGTAATTACCATTACCCTCAGGTAAGAAAACCAACATAGCACAGACCTTGCAGGTCACTACATCAGCTCCTTCACCAGTCATGTTGCTTCGATCCATAT